CAGGTTAAAGACATGCTACCCTTACCTCTGAAAAACAGTCTTCAAAAATTTGGGTATGGTTATGCCACTATTAGACGACAATGGGAAAATACCATCAAGAAACACTGATTCAATAAATGATATTCTCCAATAATTCATCTATTTGCCTTTAAAAATCTTATCTTTTCCGACTCCAAGGAAGACACAATGAGAGACAGCTGGCCGGGGCCCTAGGCCCACCCCGGAGCCCGTGGCGGGAAATTTCTGATTTCTTTTTATGGAAAAGAAATCTTGTTATTCTATGACTACTTAAGACATTAGTTCAATACTGCAAGCTAGTTCCTTAACCTCCTAGAGAGTAAGGAAGCAGCCTTCAAAACCCCCTTTGCTACATCCAGTGAAGATGCCACAGACTACACAACAACAAAGAATATCAGGAGTTACATGAGATAGTACAGTATTTCTTCAGAAGTTCTCAGGAAGCTGAAATGCATTTGGGCATGATAATGGAATAATTAAGATTGAAAGAGGTGATTTTAGCCTTGAATCAATGAAGCACTAAGTAGGAAAGTGAAAAAAGTACATCAAGAGGGAAGTCTCTAGTAGACATTCCTCATTCTGAGTCAATATCAGTGAACAACAGGGAAGAGCTAAGACAAATGGGTAAAAGGAGAAGCACAAAGATTCTACAACTGTGTAAGGAAAACAGGTTTATGGAGTAAATTAAGAACGGCATACCCTATACAGCAGGGAAATGGATTACAAGTAGTTGAGCTAGCAGTATGTATAATAAATGTTTATCATATCTGTATGTTTAATATTGAAATAGGTTAAATGTAGTTATTGGCATAGGAAAATACATTGATAGTTACAAGTCATGTTGTACTTCACTTAAGAGTTCAAATTATAACTTTAGTATTGATTCAGGGGTAGTGACATTTCATCCCTAAATGTGCAGTTTTCAAACTGCTACATCTTAATTAACAAAAGGAATACACTGTACCTCTTGTTTCTCACCCTATAGACCATATGGAATTAAGTGGTAGAACAAAGCTTTCCCCCTATTTGTCCAAAATTCAAGGAAAAAATAATTGGGGCCGTTGACATAACGACTAGCGATTGGGTTGTTAGTATGTAATTTATCTTGAAGCAGGTTTTATCAGATAGAGAACAAATCAAAGACAACTTGCTAATGGCTAGGTTTTCTTCTTTGTTCTTATGTATTGCTAATTAAAGACTGAGAATGCATCATGACATCCTGAGCACATCTGTCTCACTGCCTAACGCTCAGGCTTTGTCAGTACACAGTCTGTCCAGGGAGGCCACCACAGACTCCCACTTCCTGCAGCTGAAGGCCTTGTGTGTGGGGCCGGCGCCCCCTGGTGGCAGGGTGGATATGCATGAACAACAGCATCACAGAGAGGGTGGGAGGGTGTACCACTGCTGAAATCAGTCATCAGACACACAGCTCCTTCTGCCGGGACGCCTCTCCTCCAGGCGAGCTGTCTTCTCACTCGATCCCTCTCTGGAAGGCAGGCTGCCACGGGTGGGCAGCTCAACGGCGAGGAGCCGATGCCTCCGACCAACAGCCAGGGAGATAGACAGACAGCCACGTGGCTGATGACCCGGGGAGGGAGCCCTGCAGGCCCAGGGAGCCTGGAGATAACTGAGCATCAGCTACCTTGTAATGTCGTGAGAAACCTTGAGCCAGAACCACCCAGCAGTTGACTGTCATATTTGATATTCCTTACTCAGAGAGAATGTGTGAGATAAGTATGTCTGCTGTTTCAAGCTGATAAATTTTAAGATAAATTGTTACACAGCAATAGGTTAGTACAGTTGACCCCTTAACAACATGGATGGATTTGAACTGCGTGGGTCCACTTACATGTGGAATTTTTTTCAATAATATATTGAAAAGAGTTTTGGAGATTTGCAACAATTTGAAAAACCTAGCAAATTAAGTAGCCATGAAATGTGGGAAAAAAATGAAGAAAAAGTTAGGTATGCCATGAATACAAAAAATATATGTAGATACTAGTGTGCTTGATCTTATCTACCACAAAATATACATAAATTATAAAAAGTTAAAATTAATCAAAACTGTACACACATTGACTGTACATGGCACTATTCACAGTCAAAAGACAGTAAACATAAGGATGCAGCATTAAATCATAACGGCATAACATTAAATATAGCACATATTGTAATATGATAATAATCTCCTAGCTACCTACTGTTTTATCCATTACATTAGCCTTCCACAAGGCAATCATATTGCTGCTTCTTTGTTATATCAATGCATGAATTGTCGTATCTGTCAATATATCTGTGCGTTTCCTTTTCACGTTATCTTTTCACTTTCGATGTTGTGTTAGTAATACCTGTAACATCTACAGTGTTTTGTATCATGTAAGACAGTGTTGATGTAGGTACCAAGACACAGATGATTCATCTTATAAACAGAAGATATAAACTTACAGTATCAATAAATACAATAATGTCAATATATTTTCTCTTCCTTATGATTTTCTTAGTAACATTTTCTTTCCTCTAGCTTATCTTATTGTAAGGATACAGTATGTAATACATACAAAATATAAAATATGTTTTAATCGACTATTTATGTTATCGGTAAGGTTTCTGGTCAACAGTAGGCTGTTAGTAATTAAGATCTGGAGGAGTCAAAATTGAGAGGTGAACTTTGACGGTGCACAGCGTCAGCGCCCATAACCTCTGCACTGTTCAAGGGTCACCTGTACCATGGACTGCAAGATCCGGGGTAGAAAGTGTTCTGTTTAAAAGCTGACAAATCAAGTTCTTCACATTTTAGTGTTCTAAGAGATTAAGCAGGCAAACCAATTTCAAATTTTGATTAGTCATAAAAACCTGGATTTTTTTCTGTAAGTCAAAGACCTATCTAATGGGGAAAATAACTTGTATGAATAAATGTTGGCTACAACATCCACTTTATAATTTTATGATTTTAACAAACCTTTGGCATTTTCAATTTTTTTTAAAAAAAAAAACTTTCTTCATTAGAACCCCAGTTTCTGCTTCACTGAAACCCAGACCAGGTAGAAAAAAAATCGTATTTAAAAGTGAATATAACCTCCTTTAATTTGTAACAGAGCAGCTTAAAGAGTGTTTAAACTGGAGGTAATGGCTTATACAGATTGTGTGTAATGCTGCATTAACTTGTTGTCATCATCATCATTATTAAAACTGTAGCTAAGCTTGCACCGTGACCTAAAAAGGGCACATCAGCTCTATCAAAGAGATCACCGAGGCCCTACAGGAGCAGACCCAGAAAGTTCAAAAGCTGTTCGTTCTCATCAATACGTGAGAATCCACGTGCTACGTCAACTCACAACCGTGCAGTGTAGGAATTAGAAGATGCAGCTAACTTTCCTTTCAAAAGTAAACCACAACAAATATAAATTAACTTTTGAGGTTAAAAAATTAAGCAGAAAATATAAGAGAAATTCATCAAAAGGTATTAATTCAAAAATGTTTTTTTATCCCTGACCCCATTTCACTGCATTCTGAAGCTCGAAAGCCAGTTTCCCCTCATTCCCTGTTAGCGCCTCATCCGGGACGGGAATGATCAGGTTGACCCCTCCAGGGCTGGCGAGCCGGCAGCATTTATGGGGGGAGGAAAGCCACATCCGGCCAGATCCTCCGGCTCGTTTCTGAGTGCTCATCCCTGCCTCTCCTGCTGTTTCTTCCCCTCCCGAAAATAGGGTTCCTGTCTATGAATTTGTAAAACCCTGCATTGTAAGCAAGGCCGGGGGGCCTTCCACCCCAGTGAGGCTGAGGCACGCAGTTAATGAGAAGTGAGACTGGGGGGATGAGCAGAAATGTGCCAATGTTAAAGTAATTGAGCGTGAATATCAAACACTGACTTGGGAACAGTCTTCATTTGCTGATGCAAAGTCCGACCAGCTGGTGGGCAGATGCAGTGTGCACAGAGCTCCATTCACTGCCAGCCCTGGCATTTCCATCATGACAGCCTATACTTAGGAACTTGGTAACTTTGCTTCCCCACCCCGAATAATATTGTCCTTTTTTCCTTTTCTTCTTTTTCCTTCCTACCTTCAAAAGGTTTCCTCTTTCTTCATCTTGATTTTATCTCATCCATCCCCAAGCCTTATAAAGAATTTCAAGTATTAATATTTCAACAATTGCTGTTTCTTTTAAAAATACGTGTAATTTCCTAATGCCAGTTAAGAATAATACAAATGATGGTATTGTGACTAGAATTGCTGATCTTATACTTTTTATTTTTAAAACTCTGCATCTTCCTGTAAAGCAAGTGGAGGCTTGAATAATTAATCACTGTAATACTCCTATGTGCCTTCTATCATTCTTTATTAGATCGCTTGTGTGTTCTTCCTTAGTGTCAGGGATCTCTGGAGGGCTTCCACCACAGCATCACGAAAGGAACATCGTAGGCTGTACGCTATTGCTAATTTCAAGTTGTAATGAATGGTTTTCTTCAGAACAGAGTAATAATAGTTTCAAAAAATCTAAATATTAAAGAAAAAACTGGTTCTGTAATTATGTATTTTTATAAACATTCATTTACAAAGATTTTTTATTAGTTTACAATGAAGAAAAATAGATACAAATATAAATCAATTGGGAATTGGTTAAGTAAAATCTATTACACTCATTAAATAAAATTAAAAGTGATTTGTGAAACACATCTAGCAAATAATGAGGATGTAGGCAATCATAGTATAGTACTAAATTGGCCCATAGACTACAAACTTACATAAAATATATGTGCTTAAAGTACTCAGCAGTACTGCTTATCTGATGGTGACAATTCGTACAGTCATATTTCTACTTGTTTTTAAAAATTCCACTTAAATGTGTATTACAGTTGCTACAAAATTTTTATAAAATAACCAATGAGTTTCTCAATTCCTACACATACAGCAAGGAAACCTGAAAGAACATAGGGGCAGCATATGAGGAATACTTTAAATATAAAGTGTTTATTTATGGCTTACCATAACGGTGTAGTATTCTCTAACTTCAGGTCTAATAGAGTCAAAGTCTCCATTGATGAATTCAGGCAAAAAGCTGAAAGAAAGAGTTCTAAGTTAGGTAAGGCTACTTACCTGTTCATCTTTAAAACTACAATTATAAAGAACCAAAGAGAGAACCAACGTACTCAGAAGGAGAAAGAAACACGGAGTCTGTTTTTACAGTGAACAGGATGTCAAATGTACACTCCTGGTTACAATACGGTAGTCACTGGGGGGAACTTCACATAACCAGTTAACTCATCAGCTTAGTCAACTCTCAGTATTTACCATGCTTCAAAAAACAGTTCAAGATTAAAGAAGATTATTGTTTTTAAAAAACTCCCAGGTCAACAACCCTAAAACAAAGACTCAATCTTTGTCTATAACTTCCTGCATAGAGCCAAACCTTTATATTATCGGACCCTCACTGAAGTTCAGAACTTGCAATACATTGGTAGAGAACAAAGGAAGAGGAGGCGGCGGCGTTCTTGCAGAGCGGGAGTCGGTTCAAAGACATTTTCCAAGTATCCTACGGACCTATTTCTAGAAACAGGAATCTTCTAGATGGCTTGAAATACTACAAAGGCCACGGTTACTAAATAGAGGGAGACAATTCCCAAAAGTGGGTGTTTCTAATTCTATCACAAATATCTCATTTCTCTTCCCTGCCCTTTATATTTTTCCCCAAACATTTCAGAGAGCGTATCTTACTCTAGCTACCTTTCCTTCCCCTTACCTTTTTTTCTTTTAACATAATGCATCTTCCTGAGCGGGCAGAATTTCTTCCCACTCAGCGCACCTGACTGTGGAGAAGGGGAGCTCCCTGGACTTCTCAACAACCCTGGCCTCGAGACCTGCTGTGAAGTACAGGGCGTAAGAAAGGGACTGTTTGCTTCCATGGCCTCCAGAAATTGTCTGTAGCTGCCATGAGAATTAGATCTGTAGCTGTTCATGGAATTAATTGTTCTGATTCAAGCATACTAAAACTTCTGTATGTCTTCTCAAGAGGGCCAATGTGTTATATAATGGACTAATGAGGTCCCCAGTTAAAGGGGGGCCGGCACTTTATCTTCCTGGATATTGTATGTTCAAACAGATAAAGCCCCAGGACTTGGAGACATCTCTAGGCCATAAAAGCCAAGACACAGGAGGCTACCTGGCTCCAAGAGAGATTTTTACTGATGGTGAATATGAAAAACCCAATATTAACATTGTTCTTTTGTATAATTTTTCCAAGTTCTTAACTCAATTGGAAATATTACTTGTTAGGTCTAACCTAATCTAACTAATCTGTGCTGGACCAATGCTTCTTTGAGCTTTGCCTTCCTAGGTCTAAATGATAAGAGAAAGTTCTACCACACAGATCTGTACTGTGTACTTTGTTTAGTATTTTGTTTTGTTTTGTTTTGTTTTTTTAGTTAACCAATAGTGTTCACTTATTTCAATTTCTAGTAATTAACAAAAAATTTACATTAATTGATTCCAGGACTATTCACTGAACATCAACCATGTACAAACGACAATAGCTTATTTAAGAATAAGGCAGAATTGGGAAGTACAGTACCTAGGTTTTTAGATCATCTTGCCCTTTCAGCATTTTCCCATGAACTTTTCTCCTCAAAATGTCCCTGCTACCCTCTGTAACTTTCAATTTCATTTTATGCCTACTTAGGTAAAAACCTTATACCTTACCCCTATTAGGATTGAAAAGAGACTATTAGGTCTCTTCTCCTGTTGCAAAAAATTCCCTCAATTTTAAAGTTTCTCTAAAATGCCTCCACCTGCCAACATTCTACCACAAACAGATTGAAACTCATGCAGGTCACAGAATATCAAAGCTTCTTGGGGTCCAAATGTTTGTTCCCCCGCCCCACAAACTCCTATATTGAAATCCTGACCCCTGATGTGAGCTATTACGGGGAACTGCCTTTGGGAGGCGATCAGGTAGGGAGGGTGGCGCCCTAATGAACCGGATTAGTGCCCTCATGAGATAGAGTTCTTCTGTGCTTCTGCCGTGGGAGGGCACAGTGAGAAGAGAGCTGTCTATGAACCAGGAAGCGGGCCCTCACCAGACACGGACTGTGCTGGCACCTTGTTCTTGAACTCCCCAACTTCCAAAACTGTGAGAAATAAGTGTGCGTTGTTCAGAGGCCACTCAGTCTATGGAACTCTTTATAGTAGCCCAGAAGGACTGAGACAGTGCTGGAAGGTATAAAAAAACTACCCCTTCAATATCATCATTATTCTTTGTGAGGAAGTGAGATCCAAGAAGCCCAGGGAAGTTAGTCTGTATGGTCCGTACCCAATCTCCTTTTACATGTAAGGCAGACATTTCAACTTTGGACTGGTTCTGTGCACTTGAATCATACAACTTCCTAATAAGACTAATTTTATATGGCTCTACGGATTTTAGCTCCTCAGATACCTAGAATCAATTTGGCAGTTTACAAATACATTGATTTTGACAATAAATAAAAATGAAAAATAGAAACTGATGCACACAGAGGTAGCCTAATGCCCCCTTACTACATATCATTTTGAAGAGAATGAGATCTCTTTTTAACTTACATTGTGAATAATAAAGGAAAGTGATCATGTCAAATAACTTCTATTTTCACATAAAATTAACAGGAAAAAGTATGCACATTCCAGCCCACTCTCCTTGGCTGCCAGGTTACATCAGTGTCACACAAACCGTTCTTGTTATCTTAACAACGGCTGAACTTGTTCCAGACAGACCTCAGTATGCTTTGAAAAACCAGGATGCTGATATCTAAGACGACTCAGGCCAAAGACACACCTGGTATACAAGACTAAAGTTATTAACAACTTTTCATCATATCATATGCTAGTTTTTTAATCTTCCTGAAACGTACTTTTGGACACTGCAACTAAAAGCCCACCTCGCATTTCCTGAGGCACCGGTTGCCATGGTATCTCTGCATCCTGAAGAGGTGCTTGTCAGGGATGACACTCGCAGATGTAGAGGTGCTATGGCATGGTCTAAAGGGCAGTTTATGGGGGAGGATTATTTTTCAGAACTCTTTGGGGACGACTGTACACAGAAACTGATTAAGTGTTTATGGATTTGTGTCGCTACTGATCACTTCTGTCTCTGTTGACACAGCTCAGACCAGTGCTCCTCTTCCTGGCATCCTCAGTCTGTGAGCACGGACTTGTCACTACAAAAAGGTGTTTCAAACTCTCTGTAAATGGTGTAGGATACTTTATGCTCACATTGGACTCTTGCAGTACTTGCCACCCACACTTGACAAAATAAGAGTTCAAAAGGGCTGACATTTCAGTGCCCAAGTTCAGCTAAAAGTGTACATACAGAGACAGAGCTGAGGAGAGCTCAGACGATATTCTCATGAATCCTCCAGGTAGAGGACATTTAATTCAACGTATCAAATTCATTAAATACATACTGTATGGGTCACACTGTGGATACAAAAGTTATCACAGCCCCAAAAGGATTCAAGTCTAAGTGTGGTTATGACAGAACACAGTGGCTCACACCGCACGCCAAGTGCAGGATGCCACAGAGGTACCCGAAACGGGAGTAGGGGACGCTGGGGGGGGGGGGTAAAGGAGAGACACACGGTGCCTTTGGGCGGTGAACACACACCACCACGTACACGTGATCTATTATACAATTGTACCCCTGAAACCTGTATAATTTTATTAACCAATGTCACCTGAATAAATTCAATAAAATTTTTAAAAATTTAGGGAGAAAAAAGAAAAAAAGAACCAGAAAAAGCTGGGCTTGGGAGAATTAGTGAGTAAGAGGAGGAGATGGAAAGTCTTCCTAACAGTGGACGCTGCGTGAAAAGTTATAAATAAATGAGACCATAACAAGAGGATGAGCGATACAAATCATGCCCATATTCAGGCAATGGAAGGAAGAACAGTAGGAGATGCAAGAGGCAAGGAATGATCCGAAGGGAAGGAAGAGCACAGGCTATGATAGAGGCCACTTCCTCATTTCTGAGATCACAGCTGCCCTTGGCTGTAAATAATTGTTTTCCAAAGGAGACTGGACGGGGAGGGAAAGGAACGAGAGAGTAAGGAAACTTGTTGGACTAGACAGTCAGTTATGGGGCTATTTTCCCAGCAGGGGCAGGGATGGCGCAGGGCTGTGCCAGACGGCGCCGTGGGTGTGGGGAGAATGATGCTGAAGTGCAGAGAGGAAGGTTTCATCTTTTCTTATTTACAAACACGAAAGAGACCCAAGGTATACATACAGGTTATGCCAATTCTTCACCTTAACAAATAGAGAAGGCAAGCTCTCTCTGATGGTCATTTACTCTGGGTAATTTATTTGTTCTATGCTTCTCTCGGTGATTCAGTAGAGACATAACACATAGGATTCAATAAGACTGATAAATGCCATTAGGGCCACTAATAGGCTGTTGCTCCTCCCAAGTTGTCCCCAAGCACAGTCAGCTGCCCAGCTATTGAGTCTGCTAGGAGTGTTTTTAACCCTTCTTTTTTCCCCCTCAGCTTCCCCTCTAGCAGGAACTAAAACCTTATTTAAGAAAATGGCAATAAAATAATTTCTTAAGGCATATGCTGCACTGCTAAAGCAAATACTCTATATCCTATCCTTGCTAGTTTCTGTTTCTATCTTGCTGTTTTTATCGATTATATTTGGATGTGTGAACCATTATCTTAAAAGACAGGGACTTGAGCCCATGAAGATCTCCACAGTACTGACACATTTATGTCTCAGAGAAAAGCATTCCAGTCACCTTGAAATCACAAAGTCATTAGATGATGAATGCCATTATTAAAGGTAAAAGGCACAACAGAGAAAACATTTAAGTGAAATACAAAGGGTGACTATCTTCAAGTAGAGTTGACATCAATAGTTTATTCAAATAGAAATAAAATATAAAAAGAATCAAATAGAAAAAAAGACATCAAAAGAAATTTAAACATCTTAATATATTTCTGTAATCATTATATATTTCAACAATCATTATATACATATGTATGTAGCTTTTACATTTTCAATCTCCAAAGACTCCATGCTGCCATACTGCTAAATCT